CGTAGGCGGCTGGCTGGCTGGAGAGATGGGTCAGCTGCGTGGATCCCTCTTTGTCAATGTGGCATGCCCGAGTCGCCAGGCACTTTTGATCGTAATATGCTCTAGTCAGCTTCCTATCAGTCAGTGGAGCAGACACTGCCCGCCCCCCGGAACTCGGAATCCATCTTTCGAGCTCGCTCGCCATGGGTGCCGGGATGTCGTATCAAAAGACCCGATCATCCCCCTTTTTGCACAGCCAGAGCGAATCATTTCCACCCTTCGAGATACATGGTGGCAAGGTGAGCCCCGGTTGCGTGCAACGTACCATGGGTACATGCCCGTTAACTAATCAGGGAGGGATGCCGTCAAGTTACACTAATGCACCGTTTCGAGCCAACAGAGAACCACACAACATATCCGAGCAAACAAGCTTCCAGGTTGTAATGGTGTACCATAGTACATCGTCTTGCCATCGACATATGGACAGTGGCCGCTCATCTCTTATCGCCCGAGTTCTCTGCCAAGGTTAGGCCTGCTTTGTGTCGCGCGAACGACTGCATCGGGCAGGTCAGTATCTCGACCCCACTGGCCGCCGAAATGGCCTGCCGACCATGGCAAGACTCATGGATAGCGCACTGCGCATCTAAATACCCCAAGATGCTCTCCTCGTTTGTGCCTCTCCGTTCTCAGTTCTTCAGTTGTCCCGGCCAACATCTTCTTTGAGTCTCTTCCCTCCGAGAACTCGAGGAGAAAGCAACCAACCCGAACCCAACTCTGAAAAAAAGAAGGACGCAATGGCCTTCAGCAAGTGGAGAGGCAAGGTGTCGGAGCGACCCATCGTGGTCGACGCCGTCGCGACCGGCACCGACGCCCAGGGGAGCACCGAGTCCGTCAACCCCGAGGCTGAGCTCAAGAAGTTCAAGAAGCTCCACAAGTGGGATCCCTTCTTGGACGTCGAGACTCTCGATACCGCCGAAAGTGCCCTCGCCTCTGGCAACTACGAGAAGGAGGCTGCCGTCGAGGCCGCCCTCCACGAGGACTCTCCCTACCCCGAGGTCAGGGCTTCGGTATGTTGTGCTCTCTGCACCCCGGCATACCGGTTGCGGGACAATGCCTAACATGATACTCAGGTGCAACCGTTTGATGACGAAGATATGCCCGTCAACACTATCCGCGCCTGGACAATCGGTGCTCTCATGTGCACAATCGTCGCCGCCTGCAACATCCTCCTCGGTCTTCGCCGCTCGCCCATCATGATCACCTCCACCGTCGTCCAATTGATCTCCTACCCCGTGGGTTGCGCCTGGGCCAAGTCCGTCCCCGACATCAAATTCAACCTGTTCGGAAAAGAGATCAGCACCAACCCTGGCCCTTTCAACGCCAAGGAGCACACCGTCATCACCATGATGACGGCTGCCGGTTCCGCCGCTAGTTACGCCATCGACATCCTTCTCGCCCAGGAGATCTTTTACAACCAGTACTTCGGCTGGGGTTTCCAGATCCTGCTCATCATTTCGACCCAGGCCATGGGTCTTGGCATTGCGGGCATGCTCCGCCGCTACCTCGTCTGGCCCGCCGCCATGGTCTGGCCTGCGACTCTGATCACCACCACTGTCATGCACTCACTTCACGATCACTCGTCTTCGGACCCAGCCCTTACCAACGGCTGGAGGATCGGCCGCTACAAGTTTTTCCTCATTGTGGCTGCCGGCACTTTCGTCTACGAGTGGATCCCCGAGGTTTTTGCCCAGTTCCTCCAGATCTTCACCTTCGTCTGCTGGATCGCCCCCAACAACGTCGTCGTCAACCAGGTCTTTGGTGGCCAAACCGGACTCGGTCTCCTTCCTATTTCCTTCGACTGGAGCACCATTTCCGGTTACCTGCTTTCCCCCCTTCAGACTCCCGCCTTCGCCATCGCCAATGTCGGTGTCGGGATCATCATCATGTTGCTCGGCTGTGTTGGTCTTGCTTGGGGCGGACCCGAGTTCTACCGCTACCTGCCCATCAGTGCGAACCAGAACTTTGACCACTTCGCTCAAAAGTACAACACCAGCCGTATCTTGACTCCCGATTTCACCTTCAATGAGACCGCCTACAAGGAGTACTCCCCTCTCATCCTGGGTCCCGCCTTCTCGCTGAGCTACGGTATGGGCTTTGCTGCTCTGATCAGCACACTGGTTCATGTCGCTCTCTTTTACGGACGGGACATCATTGACCGCACTCGCTCGGCTACCACCGAGGAAGCCGACATCCACCTGAAGCTAATGCGTAAGTACAAGGAGGCCCCTGAGTGGTGGTTCTCCATCATGTTCGCCATCAGCTTCGCCTTCGGCATGATTGCTTGTCAAGTCTGGAACACCCATCTGACCTGGTGGGCGTATATCATCTGCATCTTCATCGGCGCCTTCTTCATTCTGCCTGTCGGTATCATCCAGGCCGTCACCAACCAGCAAACTGGCCTGAACGTTATCACCGAGATGATTGTGGGTTACATGACCCCCGGTCGCCCCGTCGCCATGATGCTGTTCAAGTCTTGGGGCTACATGCTCTGCTACAACGGCTTGCAGTACGTGTCTGACATGAAGGTTGGCCACTACATGAAGATTCCTCCCCGCACCATGTTCGCCGCCCAGACCTTTGCTGTCGTGTGGTTGTCCTTGGTACAAATCGCCACCTACAACTTCCTCCGTGGCAACATTGAGGGCGTTTGCACTCCCACCCAGGCCCAGGGTCTTACTTGCCCCAATGCCCGTACTTTCTACAACGCCAGTGTCATTTGGGGTGTCATTGGCCCTCGCAGGATGTTCGGAGCCGGCGCTCTCTACTCTTGGGTCAACTACTTCTGGCTCATTGGTGCTGTCTTGCCCGTCATCCAGTACTTCCTCGCCCGCCGCTACCCTCGCAGCATGCTCCGCTACGTCTTCTTCCCCGCTATCTTTGGTGCTGCTGGTATGATCCCTCCTGCGACCATCTGGTGGTTGGGACAGTGGGTTATTGTTGGTCTCATCTTCAACTGGTGGGTTCGTAAGCGCTTCTTTGGCTGGTGGAGTAAGTCTATATTCCCTTCCCTGAAAGAAATGTTCGTGTTACTGACAACGTACCAGCTCGCTACAACTACGTCCTTTCCGGTGCTCTCGACATTGGTACTGCCCTCTGCATTGTCGTCTCAGGCCTCGCATTGGGTCTGTCCAACACGGAGTTCCCCAGCTGGTGGGGTAACACCGTGCCCTTCTCCAACTTGGATTCCGATGGCGCTGCCGTCTCCAAGATCCTTCCTGATGATGGATCTTTCATCGGACCTACCCACTGGTAGACATCTAGTGTTACGTAGCTTCTTGGCTGCATGTTTGGATGAATAGTATATAATGTATGGTAATGTTGGCAGAGCGTTTTGAAGCTTGCTGTGAATAAGACTTGCACGATAATATGACAATTACAAGATATCCCTTTTAATCATACGAACTCTTTCCTTGCAGTTGTGAATGTGATTCATCACCATCATTGTCTGGCCTAAATCAGACCGTATTTAGCGGCTCTCTTGGATGTTTTGCGAGTCCTGCAGATACCACAACAAACATGGCTTTGTGCGTCACAAACAAACCGGATGCGGTGAGTTGTGAAGCGGAAAAACGTACAGGGGCACTGCAGACACTTGTCATGTGCTGGAAGCAAATGCATGGGGCTTATTTCGGCCGGACCCAACAGCAAGACGGTAGAGTGACTGGCAAGGTTGAGGCTGGTAAAGTGACCGCTGAGCGCAATCAGCGACATATCAGTTCCACTCCCTTTGCAGTGGTTAAAACTAATTCAACTACTCCAAGGTATTGATTTGATCTACCCATCGCCAAGCTCCAAGAACGCCCCGCGATTCCTGAAACTGCAATCCTTTACGCCAATGGCCACATCCCTACTCGCCTCCATGAACCCGGGGGGCCCAATGTCACAAGAACCAACCAGGGTTAGCTGCGGCGTGGTTTGCTCCATTGACCAATATCTCCATTTTGTGCATTTCGGGTTCTTGGGGCAAGGGAGATCTTAAGGCACCCAAGTACGGGTATAAACAACCAGACATTAGTGCAAGCAATGAAGGTGCCTGGCACTCACCGGCCACGCTGATTACCTGCAGCTCATTCCTGTGCCGCAAAATGAAATTTCTCGCTCAAGTCGCTCCCCTTATCGTCTTCGCCAATGCGCATTCCATCCTCCAGCGGCTGGCCGTCAATGGAGCCGACCAAGGCTGGCTGAGGGGTATCCGCGGGCCCGCGAGCACCGATCCCATAGAGGACGTCAACGATGCAGACTTTGCGTGCAACAAGAACATCGCATACGAAGATGGGACTGTGGTCGCGGTACCGGCCGGTGCCAAAGTTGGTGCGTGGTGGGCTCGTGGTATCAACGAGCCTTTACATGCGAACGACGTCGATCAGCCAATTGCTGCGAGCCACAAAGGTGTGGCGATCCCCTCAAGTGGCGTTGGGCTCATATTGACAAGCTCTCGCCAGGCCCCATCATGGTGTACCTCGCCAAGGTCGACGACGCTGTTTCTGCCAACCAAAACCCCAAGGGCGCCTTGGACTGGTTCAAAATCTCGCAAAAGGGCCTGAACTATGGCATCTGGGCTGTTGATGAGCTGATTGCGGACGGGGGATGGTACAACTTTACTATGCCATCTTGCGTGCCGCCCGGCCAGTATCTCATGAGAGTGGAGATCCTCGCCTTACACAGCGCTTATGTTCCTGGTGGAGCTCAATTCTATATGGAATGTGTACAGTGAGACGAATATTCTCTAACCATGTTCTCTGTAGATGCCATTCTAACGAAATATTTAGGATTCAGGTTCAAGGGAACGGTAAGAAAACGCCTTCGTCACTGGTCAAGTTCCCGGGTGCCTACAGTGCGACAGACCCTAGCATACTTCTCGATATCTACGATGACAACGGCCAGCCTACTAATCGGGGGAAACCATACAAGATACCCGGCCCTGAGATGTTTTCTTGCAATTTGCGAGACGGCAATTAAGCCGCTTCGATTAGTCTACAAGACACAGGGCCGGTGTTGAAATGTTGCTGATGTCGCCCGAGTACTCATAGCTTGGTAATAAGACTCTCGCTATCGCCGTTTTCAAATTCATGTTCAGCAGCTGACTAAGACTAGATGAATGAACAGTATTGCTCCCAAGTTTCCTCCCAATCAGTTATCACGAACGGTTTTCTTCTTCATCAAGAACCCAATTCATTTTTATCATCTCATTCCGTTTCTTAGTGCCGCAATGTCGTTGAGGAATGTCCTGTCCAATCCAACCCATTTACTTCTCAGAAACCAACTGAATGTTATACTCGAGCTCTTTGGCGGCTTTGGGGTCGCCCTTCCTCTCGGTGAATTTCACCGTCAACCCATCTTTCACAGCAAAGACCGAGTCGTTTTCCAAGTAGTCCGAATCTTGGTCAAAAATTTGTGTCGTCACTGACTTGAATCCTTCTGACTGAACCTGTAAACGTTGTTAGAGTGAGCATAGAATGAAGCTAAGGGTCCTGGGAATCTACGTACGATGAGGTGAATGTGGGCTGGTCTATAATGATTACGGTGAAGTAGGTCCAGAAGCTTTCCGGCTGGGCCGTCTCCCGGAACCTGGAGATGTTGTCAGTAGGTGCACACCGTTACATGGGAAAAGTAGCAGTACTGGGTACGGAGTGGGCCGAAGGCAGTAGAACGCGTAACGGCCCTCCTCATCGGTAATGAACTTTCCGCGCAAGTTGTGTTCCGGTTGATCCGCATCTTGCTGCTCGTACAGCCCTGATCCCAGTCAGCTCATGAATTCAATAAAGACGACCGTGCATAGACCTGCCGTTTGTGGATGCTTGCCAAACATCAACAGACGCGTTAGGGAGAGGCTTTCCCGTGTTGGAGCAGGTCACTTGACCATACATGAACGCGAGCTCTCCGTCATCGGGGCATTTGAGAACAATGGTGCTACCATTGGCACGGACAGGCGTGTCTGCACGCCAGAAAGGGCCCAAAATGGCTGTTGCCGTCCCAGGCACGCCGTTCTTCGTGGCCACCCGGTTGGTAATATCATCAACGAGTCTCGGATTCCGGTTAGCCATTACCCGATAGGGGGCCCGACATGGTATGACTACTCACGATTCCAGGCCGATGACATCACAGAGAAGCTGGCCTTCGTTTCGTCGGTCGTTACTCATTTGACCGGCCCAGTTGATCATGTTGACACCAGCCATCCATTCGTCGGTGGTGAGGTCGACTTCACGAGCAAAGTCGTGGATATGCTGGATGAAAGAGGACAAAACTTGACGGAGTCTCGGGTTTGTGTCCTTACCCATAGACGCGATAACTTGCTTTGTGAAGTCCTGTCCAAGGCCCTGGGCATGGCCATCTTCCTTCTGCATCGAGCCCATGCTGTCAAGTTCGTTTTGCGTCCGTCCAGAACGCCTTAGGTCGGGGTCGGTCGGAGGATAAGGTCAGATAGCTTGGTTGTGGAGTCGATATTATTTTTGAAGCAAGATAGCTTCACCTAACCACAACAGTCATCGAGCAGTTCCACCGAAGGTACTTATTCCAATCGTATTCAGCGGGCGCATTACTTGCCCGTTGGTCCTTTGTCATTACACGTGTCCAACGGCTATCGCCGGCCCCTGCAGTACCGGAAGCATCCCCGGATCCGGGAGGGGGTTGCCAGCCTATTTAGAGTTTCTCATTTCGGATACAGGGGAGGGAGATCCGACGCGAGGGAGCGCAATCTGCCGATGCCACAGACGTGCACACTTTGACACGCACGCACACAGCGTTACAGCGTGCGCCAGACCGCCAAAAAAACATCATGGCTCTGTGGGAAACCCGCACTTTGGAAGCCTTGTTTTGCGTCGTCACGAGCAAAGTGTCAGTTTGGCAACTGACTGACATTTGTGATCACATAGGACCCAACTTCTGTGGGTGACTCTGAGGACACAAGTGTCAAAATTACAAAAGTGGAGGTACTCCCATTTTGGAGCGACTTCGGATCCTGTTAAAACTTTGGCACTTCAATAAGAGGCGTGATATCCAGGGATTCTCCTCCTCAGCAGTATACCGAATTTGGGATGAAAAAGCCTACGTCTGCTGTGCCGTGATACGTGCGATCATGGAGTCTTTGGCTTTTTTGCCGCACTGTCGCCTAATTGTGACTTGGTTTCTGTCACGCAAAAGACGACGCCGTTAATTGCGGGCAGCACAACTAACGCTTTATATTACCTTGTGACACGCCCCCCCAGATCACAGGTAGCCTTGCTCATGTAGATCTGCTCTAGGAAGGAAGCCTCTACAGCCCCCCAAAGGTACAGTGGGGCGCAATAATTCTCCTGACAGCCTACAGTCTCTCACTAAAATAGGCATTCTTGAACTATATAGGTTATACTCCTTAGACAAGTTAAAGTTTTATTTTCATGTATCTATAGAAAATATATTACTTATCTTAATAACCTTAAGATACTATGGTATAAAAGTGCTGAGTTTAGTGAATTTTGTGTGGTACACTATAGGCTGTCAGGAGACTTATAGCACCCCACTGTACACACTTAGAACTCCTCCCCTAGGGCAGATACTGCTACAACGCTTGTTAACCTTCTAATTAGGTACATCTTGCTAAAGTCTAGGTGGTTACTGTCTGCCTTTAGGTGGAGTATTTGCGACCTGTCCTACTATTGAGGTACACAGCGCAAACTAGGTGTTGGTAACACCAAGGGATAGGTTAATACAGTTAACTGTACGTATCAGTGGTAATTAACGAATAATAGGGGTAACTATAGTTCTCTATTATACATAAAAAAAAGAAGGATAATTATTGTAGGTTAGTTAGTTAAATAACTAACTTATTACCTATAAATCCTTAGAGAATCTATAGCTAAATATCTAAGGATTTGTTAGTAATAAGTTATTAGGGTTAACCTAATAACTTTAATATTTATCTGCAATAGTTAATATTATAACACTAGCAACTTTCTATAGTGCTAGAAATCCCCTATTATTTATATCTAAAAGAATAGCTAAAAAACATAATAAAAACAAGAAGCTAAAAAGTATTTAATACTTTTTACTTATATAGTCTATTATATATAAGAAACCTATTTATTTATTTATATCTCTAACTGCCTATTACTAACTAGCTTCCCTAATATATTATTTAATAATAACTTTATAAATCTATCTACTAGGTTATTACTGCTATAAATCTATTATATCTTAAAAATCTTATAGCATTTATATAACTAGTAAAGGGCTATAATATCTATTATAAGTTACTTCTCCTTTATAGTACTAAGCTTTATAAGGCACTTATAAAGCAAGTATAAGTTAGTATAGAGTATTATAAGTATTTACAGTAGCTTAAAGTAGTTAGTAATTATTATAAGAGTAGTACTAATTATATAGGCAACGTTAGCGCTAGTAATTATCCTATAGACCTTAGAGGTAAGTACACTATATATAACTCTTTTATACTTTATTAAACTAAAGTAGACAATATTACTAGTTAATTTAAAGCTTTTACTGTTAGTAGTAGGTTACTTAATAATTTATTTATTAGTAAGGACTATAATAAAGCTAAGTTAAAAATAAAGTTATAGTTATTTATAAATAAGCTATTAATAAATACAAAAAGCTTAGTAGTTACAAGGTTAATTAGTAAGAATTATAGGCTATAGTTAAAGTTATTAATTTACTATTTAATTTAGTAGTTTAGTGCTTTAATCTCCTCTACTATAGGTAATTAGTGTTAAGTAGTAACTAAATAGTTAAAGTAAGCTTTAGGTTAGTAAATAAAAGCAATATATACGCTATAGGCGTATTACTAGACATAATCTTACTAGGCAGTAGGTAATTTCTTATTAATAAGTTAAAGCTTCTTACCTTAGCCTTTCTAGCAAAAGGTAAGCTCTCTATTAGCAGTAATAAATAACACACTACTGTTAAAGGTAATAAAGTTATTAGCTATAAGTAACTACTTAGGTTTTACTATAAAAGTAGCCTTCTTAAGCTCCTTTTCTTTATAGGCAAAGAATTTACTATCTATAAGGCTAATTATATTATCTATTTATATACTAATTAATCTAAAGTTACTATTATTAGGTAATAATATTAATAGGCAAAGGTTAAAGGTTAATAAATCTATCTAAAGATTCTCTCTATAATAGTAGTTATATATTGCCTACTAGTAGGTTTTTACCTTTATAATACTATATAATAGCTTAGTTATTATTATTATTATATTTACTAGGTAAAGATAGTAAATCTATATAGGCAGGTAGGTAAAAATAATATAATTTAGTAGTATTACTAATTAAGTATATGCCTAGGTAATATTATATAACTAGAGGAGAAATCTATATTAAAGCAGTAAAGGGGCAAAGGTAAGATTAATTACTAGGCTATTTACTAAATAGTAGGCAACTATATAAGAATTATTTCTTTACTATTATCTATATAGCCTTAGATAATAAGCTATAATTTCTTATAAGGCTACTTATTTTTACCCTTTACTTTATAGACTATATATAATTTAAATATATAGGTGTTATTATAGGATTTCTTATTATAGGTAATAATATAAAATATATTATAGTTAACAAGGGCTTTTACTTTACCTTATTAGATTCTTTAAAAGGTTTACTAGGCATAGTAATAATCCCTTTTTTATATAGCTTAATAATAAGTGTGTAGTCTACTTTTCTTTTGTAGTTAAGAACGCTATAGTTATAGTAAGGTATATTTTTACAAAAATATAAGGATTAGGTTCTTTTATAGGTAACTATAGTGTCTTTATAGTAGTTTATTATTAATAATAATAGTATTATATACTTCTTCTTTAGTGTTAAGTATCTCTATAGGGTCTTCTTGTGCTTATATAGTGTACATAGGACTATCTTCTGCTTATGTAGAGTAGTTAGTGTACTTATTTAGCGTAGGGAGGTCTAGTTAACCTTCCTCTATATAGTAGAGTTTTACTATAGTAATCCTAAAGTTATATAGGCTATAGAGTAAATTAATAGTGTAAGTAGTACTATTATTAGTAATAAGGTAAAATAGGCCTTACTAGCTATATTTCTTATACTATATATAGACAAGGATTAAAGGGGTAAAGCAATAGTATTAGTTAAATCTAGGCTATTATATATAGCTAGTGCTTTATAAAGCTATTACTTTATGTAGATTTAGTGCACTATAGCTATTACTTTCTTAATTACTTTAGTGTACTGTATAGTAGTTATAGTAGGTAGTAACTTATTAGTTATTTAGGGGTATACGCTAAAAACAAGGAGAGTTAGGACAAGGCTGTCTAGGCTAGCAGTATTATTAATTACTTTAATAGTAAGTTAAAGGGCAACTTTAGGTTTAGTGCTAGTTTTTTATAAATAATCTTATAGGTATAGTAAAGGGGTATATAATAGTACTTAACTTTACTAATACTATAATAGGCTTTAATAAGCACTTCTTTTACTTTAATAGATAACCTATAGGTAGTATATTTAAACTTACTAAAGTAAAAATTTAGGCTAGCGTTAGTTATTATCTAATTAGGTAAGCTAAGATATACGTTAATCTAGTATATCTATAGTGCTTCCTATATGTATTCTATAGTAATAAATTACAAGAATCTTACTATATTAAACACTATTACTATATTAACTATATAAAGTACTAGTTTATTACTATTAAGATATATTATATTAATAAGGATTTATAGTTAAACTTATTATTATTATATAGTATAAACTTAAAGTAACTAGGGGCTTTAGAGTATAATTAGTAGTAGTAATAGTACTTATTAATAGCTTTAATTAATAATAAGGAGGTGTTTTCTTTAGTACGTTTAAGTAACTTATAAAGTTACTAAATAGTTAGGTAGCTAAATTACTAGTAGATTTAGTGTAATTTACTGTCTATTAGGTGTTACCTAGTAATACTCTTCTCTAGTAGTTATAAAAGTATCTATAGGTAGCTAAATTAGTAAACAATAGGTATAATATTATTACCCTAGATTAGCTAGTTAGTAAGGTTATTAAACTTTATACTATAATAGTCTATATCCTTTAAGTAGAAGAGAAATAGAGTATTAGTAGTTATTATATAAAAAATAAAGTTACTAAGTAGCGTAGGTATATTAATTACCCCTAGGGATTTAAAGTAATTACTGCTACTAAAGTAAATACTTACTTTACTTACTTAGGTAGTATCTATAGGTATCTTTTTACCTAAGTAGCACTAGAGAGTAAAGTATTACTTATAGCTAGTAGTTAATTTCTTAGCTACACTAGTGTTAAGTATAATACTATAAAAAGTTATACTAAATAGTACTTATTAAGTATAAATATCTTATTAGTTTTTATAGTCTTACTAGGTAGTAGCTCCTTTAGTAGGTTCTTATAAGTAAGTGCATAGGTAGTTACCTAGTTATATAACTTAGAGAATATAGTTAGGCTATTAATTAATAGTTATATAAAGAAGGTTATAAATATAAAGAACACTATATCTATATAGTTATTATTATTACTAATAGGTTATTTATTACTATTACTTACTTCTTAAAGATAACTTATATTATAACCTTTATAGTTAAGAAGAAAGTAGTTAAAGGTAGCTAGTAAAGCTTAT